GAGAGAGAGAGAGAGAGAGAGAGAGAGAGAGAGAGAGAGAGAGAGAGAGAGAGAGAGAGAGAGAGAGAGAGAGAGAGAGAGAGAGAGAGAGGCTAGAACACAATATACATGTATGTACACATCAGAAGCCGACGAATTGGTGTACATTTCTCAGCGACGTGAGAAGACTGGACAATTCGCATGGCGTTGACAGTCAAGCACCAAGCACAGACTGACATTATCTCAATTCAAATTCGCGAATGCTGAACTACCACATGGGCACACCTACTTCCGTACAAGTCCAAGACTAGCTAGTGGTAGTCTCTCGCGAAGACTCACCCTTCCAGCGTCGGGCTCGAGGCAGGTGTCAGGCTGATTGGAATCTGACACGGCCCTTGGCGAGACCACCCGTTTGACAATCCGTGTTGTCTTGCTGGCCATGGAAGACGGTGTAGCCATATCCGCCGCATGTCGGAGGAGTTCGCCATCGCTCCCGCCCGACATGAAAGCACTCGCACAGAACGACATCGCTGCAGCCTCATTTGTCCCCGAGCGCGGTGCAATGCTCAGCGGAGACGAACTAGCCAAGCGCGCACATCCGGCGTACCCTGCGCGCAGCGAGGCGGGCGTTTCGCAAGACGTCGATGCCGCCGAATTGACGGCAGCGGGGGACGGAGAGCGAGACTGCAGAGCAAGGCTGGCAACAGCGCACAAGGAGGTAGCCGACGCCATCGCTGCAGCCATAGCTGACTTGTGACCTCTGCGCAAACAGCTGCGCCGCGCGCTCAAGACACCAGGTCCCACAGGCGCGCCGAGCAGCTCCCGGCAGCTGCAGTTTCTTCACTCCCCGCCGCCTCAGCACTGAGTCGCCACGTGCGTTGATGTACTCATATGACCAAAACAGTCTCCGACAGAGAGACCGCGCGCAATCCCATAGCCGACGCGAATCGAGACATCCAAAAAATGGCGGGGCGCGTCTCAGCACGCGGTGACGCGAGCTCCGAGTGGCAAAAGCGCGGGAAGCTACGAGCCACAGCGCCAACGGAGCCACATAGGCGGGACTGATTCGCGGAGGATGAATAAAAGCTGGGAGAAATGGACCGAAGTGGGAGTGCCGCGCATATCCAGTCCTTCGACAAGATAGCACAGCACCGTATGTCGCGCAATGGCGTCGCACAATGATCACGGCAGGCACAGTTCTGACATTTATCCACCAGATTCGGTCGGGATGTTGATGCCCCCGCCTTCCCCTTCCTACTGATCCACGCTCTCCGCTCCCTCCCCTCTCCCTCCCCTCTCCCTCCCCTCTCCCTCTCCCTCTCCCTCTCCGCTATCTCGTCCGTCACCCTTTGGCCGCCTTGGGGTCAAGTAACCCCAAAATGGTTTCTGATTTTTCGCGCGCGGGGGATTTGGAGGAGGGGAGGAGGAAGTGGGCCCCGGCAAAAGGATCTACCCTACTATTTTTTTTTTCCCCCGAGGATCTATCCTGCTCGTGCAACCCCTCTAAAAAAATGGAGGTGCAATGCAAGTTTGTTGTTTGAGGAAAAAAAAGGCGAAAGAGGAAAAAAAGTCAAGCGTCGAGGGAGAGCTATTCTGGTTAACGGTCATTCAACCGCCCAAATGTTTTCGGCGCGCGCTACAATCAGTGGATGGGCTTCGCACATGACATGGCAATGAGATGGCGGTCGCTCAGCTGTCCGTCCTCCTTCCTGCCCCTCCTACTCCTCCTCCCCACCCCCTTTTTTCTTTCTCTCCCCCCCCTCCTTCGCCCTTCTTTCTTATTTTATTTTTTATTTCCCTCGCCCTTCCACCACCGAAGGGTCTTTCCGACAACGACAAATAACAAATAAAAATTGGAAAATTGGAAAAGATCAGCTACATATCTTTGATAGGTTGCGAGTCCGTTTCATTTCACAAAAAAAAAAAAAAAAAAAAAACCAAAACAGTCCCAGTAGCACAGTTTGTAACTGCTCTCCTCCCTCTCTTCCTGCGCCCCTTCCTTTCCTTTCCTTTCCTTTCCTTTCCTTTCTTCTCCATCCTTACCGTCCCAAGAAAGTCGGGGCAATCAAGAACCAGCTCATGGGACGAAAGCGGTAAGAACCGGCAGTGAAGTAGTTGCAAAAACTTGCATTGCAATTACTTTTCATTTTTTCTTATTTTTAACTGCGCGTACTTCAGTGTTCAGCGTCGAACAATCAAGAACTGGCTTATGGACGGTTCCGAGCAATTGCCGGTGGTCGCTGCGAAATCTGTTGGTTCCATGGAGCCCACGTGGACAGCTCGTGGACAGCTCCACTGTAACGATGAGCACACTCGCAATAGCGCAGCCGCCGTGTGCATGCTGTGTGCCTGTCTGTATGGGCGAACCGGACCACATCCGTCAATGTTTTTTTTTTTTTTTTTTTTTTTTTTTTTTTTTT